CCTTAACCAGGGAAGCCCCAGCACCACGGGATCGCAAAGGAGATCCCTCGGAGCGAGAGCCGAATGCCACTGGGGTTCCGGTGCTGGAGAGGAGGACTGGCCGATGGTGATGGTAAGGTGTGCGAAGGTGTGGGCACCTCTCCGGTGACCAAACGGCGCAGAGTGTTGGACACCTCGTTCATGGCAGCCCCAAGTTGCCGGATCATGGTGTCTTGATCGCTGATCCGTTCCTCCAGCGACTTGGGTGCCGCCGCTGCTCCTGCTGACTCCATAGCGGGTGTGTTATTCTGTCAGTGTTGATGTGGATGCGGTTGAGGAGTCAGACGCAGGACGCATAGGCTGAGTCAAACAAGACTTTACTAACTGTATAATCAATACAAAATAAAGGACCTCAAAACAAAGAGGCGAGCGACAACGCAACACAGTGCGTCACAAAAAACAAAGTCCAGAGTACTGCACAGGTGACACCAACGGACAGGCGGAAAATAACACACAAACAAACGAAAACAACACAGGACACTTATAGGGCACATAATCAGACCCAAACGGACACAGGTGTAACAGACAGACCTAACCAAACGAACATCGAAACATTCAACGGTGGCAGTTAGTACTCCGGGGACGACGAACGCCGAAGCCTGCCCGAGCAAGGAGGAGGAGCAGTCCCGGCAGAATTCGTGACAGCCGATATCAAGCATACCCATACCATGATGCAGCCACCACCATGCTTGAAAATATGGAGGCAGTTACTCAGTGATGTGTTGCGTTGGAATTGTCCCTAACATAAGGCTTTGCATTTAGGCCAAAAAGTGTATTCCTTTGCTGTGTTTTTTGCAGTATTACTTTAGTGCCTTGTTGCATACATATGCATGTTTTTGAATATTTGTATTCTGTATATTTGTATTCTTTTTTTCACTCTGTCATTTAGGTCAATTTATTTGGTTATTCCAAAATTCATTACATGTTAAAATTTCAAATCAAATTTAGTTAAACTTCCAAATAATAAACAATTCAAACAATAAATAATCAATATAACTTAGGTTAATCAAATCAAAAGAAAAACAAACAATTACCAAAAAAAAACTATAAAAAAACGAATGCGTTCAATCAAATAACATTTACCAATTAACAATTATCAGTCCGTCAATTTGTTAGTCAGTAGGTCAGTCATGGTCTGGTGGAGTGGTTGACAGTGTTTGTGTCTTTGTGTTGGGGGAGGGGAAGGAGTGGGGTCTGAGCTGCAGTTGTGGATGAAGGTAGCAGTTGTGGATGAAGGTAGCAGTTGTGGTTGGTCGGTGCTGTGTGCAGGGTTGGTGCTGGTGTTAGGGCTGGTACAGGGAAAACCTGGGTTGGTGTTGGGGCCAGGTTGGAAATCGTGCTGGTTTGTCATTTAGGTCATGATTGTGGCATCACTAAAATGTTGTTGATCCATCTAAAGTTTTCTCCCATCACAGCCATTGAATTATGTAGCTGTTTTAAAATCAGCAATCGCCTCATGGTGAAATCCCTAAGCAGTGTCCTTCCTGTCCTGCATCTGTTCAGAAGGATGACTGCATCTCAGATGTGTCTGGGTGGATTAATACATAATCCAACGCATAATTATTAACTTGACCATGCTTAAAAACAATGGTTCTCAACTGGTTTTGCCTCGTGACCCAAACTGAGCCTGGTTGTCTTAGTTGCGATACGATATAAAAAAAATTGTTGCCAAAATGCAATCTGGAAAAATATTTTTCATGCTATATTGATGGTAAATGTAACATTTTTATACTGAACAAAAATATAAATGCAACATGCAACAATTTCAAAGAATTTGCTGAATTACAATTCATAATAAGGAAATCAGTCAATTGACTGGGCAGGGGCGCAGCCAATCAGAATGAGTTTTTACCCACAAAAAGGCTTTATTACAGACAGAAATACTCCTCAGCTTCATCAGCTGTCCGGGTGGCTGGTCTCAGATGATTCCGCAGGTGAAGAAGCCGGATGTGGAGGGCTGGCGTGGTGTAGTGAGGCCAGTTGGACGTACTGCCAAATTCTCTAAGACGTCTTATGGTAGAGAAATGAACATTTAATTCTCTGGCAACAACTCTGGTGGACATTCAAGCAGTCAGCAGGCCAATTGCATCCTCCCTCAAAACTTGAGACATCTGTGGCATTATGTTGTGTGACAAAACTGCACATTAAGGTGCACCTGTGTAATGATCATGCTGTTTAATCAGCTTCTTGTTATGCCACACCTGTCATGTGGATGGATTCTCTTGGCAAAGAAGAAATCCTCACTAACAGGGATGTATGCAAATGTGTGCACAACATTTGAGATAAAGAAGCTTTTGTGCATATGGAACATTTCTGGGATATTTTATTTCAGTTCATGAAACATGGGACCAACACTTTACATGTTGCATTTATATTTTTGTTCAGTAGATATTCAATGTCTGATTTGTTATTGTTACCCATCTACCAATCGCTGCCCTTCTTTATGAGGTATTCGACAACCTCCCTGGTCTTTGTAAGTAAGTAAGCATTTCACTGTAATGTCTGCACCTGTTGTATTCGGCGCATGTGGCCAATAAAATTTGATTTGATTTGATAGTTGAATCTGTTCTTGAAATTCAATACTTGACTGAGGGACCTTACAGATGTTGTACTTATGGGGGACTGAGGAAGGGGTAGTCATTAAAAAAATAATGTCAAGCCCTAATATTTCATACAGTCCCCCATAAGTCCAATAAAATAATTGATAAAACATTCATATGATGTTTGTGTAGAAAAGTGCAAAATGTGCATTTTAGTGTCCACTGTCACATGACCGAGGAGGTGGCATCAAATAATAATTTTCCCGGAAGTACCCATGCGTACCAGGCGCACCGTCCGGCCGGCTCCAGCGGACGTTAATGCATCGCACCATGTCCTCGCTGTAAACCGAACGAAACCCCCAGTAGAGTGTATTTTACCGGCAATCCGTCACCATCGGCGCCTTGATCATGGACCTCCGGTCCAGAGGCTTTTTTAGGAGGCATTGGAGTTGTCAATAGTAACCTTCAAGTGTGATATTAATACATTTTGTGCCCTGTCACTTTTGCACGCTCCGGGGATTTAAAGACCAAGTGACAGCACTCACCTAGCTAGCTGCTAAGTCAATAAGGGCACACTTTCCATTTGGAGGAGAGGACAAGAAAATACAATAGCTACAATTTTAAGTAACGGACAATAGGTTTTAAAATACTATATTTTTTCGATTGTTGATTCAAGTCTTCCCTCAGATCCCTCACAGAAACGGTAAGCATATTGTACTAGCTAGATACCTGCGATTACTTTGAAAGAATAACGCACGGATGAAGGCCCTGCCTTGTCAGTCCATTTTACAAGGTTTGCTAATTTGGCTAAATAGCTAGCTTTCAGAAGAATAACTAGCTAGCTAATGTTAGTTAGCTGCTATAAATAATATTGGCTTTCACTGTGTTTCTCTGTGCTCGTCAAAACGAGGCTTGTTAGCTAGCTAACCTTTGCATGAAATTGGGTTTGAACTCATCTCGAGCGTTTCATTATTGAAGTTAGTTAGCCAGCCAGCTCATGTCTGTATTTTAAGTTGGTGAATTTATTGTTGTTGTTTAATTAGCTAGCGAGCTAACGCTAGTCTAGAATGTTAGCTAGGTAATGCCATTTTGCAAATCTTCCCTCAATTTGACAGTTCCCATCGAAACAAATTGTCTAGATTCATGGTTTACTTCAAGATGCCAATCTGGCAATTTACTCGTAACTAAGTTTCTTTATCACACAGCTTTATAATGGCTAGCTAACGTTGGTTAACCTGCCCATAAATCTAGGTAGCTAAAGCAATTTTCATGCTGGGTTTTCAATGTGTGTCTTAGTCGGGCCTAGAATGAATACTCCTTAGAAGACTAGCTTGAAAATTAGCATGTGATTGAATCCAACTATTTCAGTTAGGTACAAATAAAGTGATATTTAATATTACAATCCACAACTTATATATGTGTAGACATGTCACTTCAGAATTTCAGGTGGACTTTGAAATTGGCTAACTACTGTAGCTAGTCAAGTTCACTCACTCATTACTATGAGACACGTAGGTTACTACAGGCTAGCTAACGGTGTGTGACATCCACCATCAGTGGTCCTCCCCGGTATTATTAACACGCTAGAAGGCCTTGCTTGCAATTTGATCCATCAGTAACTAATGTTATAACTAATCTACCCACAGACTGATCATGTTAGTTATCTTACGGTTATTTCATGGTCTTTCGTTTTATTTAGCGCCAAAAACTGAGTGGGCTAGCCGTAGATGGGATAACATATGGCAGGTAGCTAACTATAGTGGCTAACACCGGCTGCTTAGCTAGCTAGCCATATGACACGTCTTCCTAATGTGAGATGTCCTCTTTAGACCATGTGATATCAGATTGACACTATTTATTTTCATGCTTGAGTTAATGGCATGTCAAAAACACTGTCTGGAAATTGCTGAAACATCATAAAGGCCGCAGTATGCATGCACCCTGATCGCATGCTTGTCTACAACCCATGTTCCTCAAATGTGGAAGTGGAGTATATTGCTTCCCAGTAAAATTATAAATGTTATTTAAATGTTTAGTCATTTGATGTTATATGGATATCTCTGAGGAATCTGAAACATTGTAACCAGCACATGTCCACAATACAGAGACAATATGTTACAAGCAAATGGAGGCTACTGGCAAATGAACTTTGACATGAAAAATACATTCTCTGATACTAAATAACTAGTTAGTTCAATTGAGCATCAGTAAAAAACAGTGAGTGAGATGTACCAGCTCAGGCTGGCGTGAACCTAATCTTCAATGATGCATGGAATGGATGCAGAGAAGAGATTTGAAACCCACAACCTGTTTTTTTTTTGTGCAATTTCAAATTCACAGACTTGTCATGCCAAATTCAGCTCCCCATCACAATCTGTCCCCCCAAATAGTGGCTCTTATTCTGAAAGTAAATGTTAGCTAATGTCTCGAGATGATGATAGTCATGGTGTTTTTTATTGGCCCCATCTGCATGGAGGATCAATAGATAGTTCTGCCAATGGCTTAACTATATGCGTCTGTTGTGACAGGAATGTAGCATAGTGGAACTGCCCCTGTAGTGATGATGTGGGAACTGCCCTTAATCCAATGCACTCTCAGGAGTGATTTTGTGTCTTTTGTTTCAGGCCTAAATAGCGGTTTAGGGGTATTTTGGAACTCTGCTCAAAGACATTGTGTCACTGGAATGGCATATTTAGACTCACAACTTAGTGGAAGCCCATAAAATGGTGTTCTAACCCAAGGTCTAACCTATCTACTGTAACGTTTCCTACTTTGTAACACAAACTTGTGACCAGTGTTGGGTTGTTTGGCACTAGGCCTTACTGCCATGACCTACTACAGCAGACAAACACTCAGGGTTTCTCATGAATGTGTCATTGGGTACTGTAGCTTCGTGAGGGCAGCCTCAAGTTAACTTCTTAGGGGGTTGAGACAGGGATTTCCCCTGTTGGCTTTCTGATCTTTCTGCTCTGACGCTCACTGGGCATGGTGTCCAGGTGATTATTTTACATCTAGTGTACTCAGCCTAGCCTAGTCCAGCTGACCCAGTATCAATATGGAGATTAGAATTGTCTTGGAGGGTTTTTCATTGATTTACATTTTTTGCTCTTTTGGTAACTAATTCTTCCTCAGATCGGCTGGCAAGTCAGCGCCACCCTGATGCAGAACGACGTGAAATGAACAAACCACTGCAGCCTATAACCGGACCCACCTCTGTCCCACACCCCTCCCCCTCCCCTGGCCTGACACAGGTGAGAGGCAATGACAAGACCCAGCTCGCTCTGACAGATCAGAGTAGCGTTCATTAGGCAAAAAACGTGAGAAAATGTTTTGAAACCGGGAGATGCTACCTGGGTTTTATTCATTACACAAAGACCATAGCAAACAGTTGCAAAATGTATTGCAACAAAAACCGGAGTTTCTATTGGACAAATTCCGATAGGTCCCTCCCTGTTTCATCTAGTTTGCATCAGTTTGGTTCCGTTTGGTTCTTCATGAATACACAGATTAAACAGTTTACTCCAGAAACCAAACGAAACAAAACGGGGAGGGGCCTAACTGCATTTCTGCGCTGCAAAATGTTTACCGTTGCAAAACGTTTTGCAACAGCCTAAATGTTTTGCTGCAGCCTGTGACTAATAAATACACCCCTGAACTTGTCCAATAAGGATGATCATTTTTGTTTTCCTTTCTGAAGTGTTTTGCTACATTGTATCCTACTGAACACAACCCGTCTTTGGCAGCAAGTTAGCCGACTAACGTAGTTGTGTTTCTCTGCCTCCCCTCTCTCCCAGGCTGCCTATGCCCCTGGACAGCCCCCTTCTCTCATCTTCGCCACCCCAACACCTCAACAAATGAACTCCGCACCTCAGCCACGACAGGTACTGCTCTCTACTTCTGCTACTCCATCTCTCTCCTTCTATTTTCCGCTCTTTTGCCAACACTCTTTCAATGTCCAAGCTTCTATGTACTGCTGAGTGTAAGACCCCTACTTAAATTCTTAAAGGTCCAATGCAGCTGTTTTTATCTAAATATCAAATTATTTCTGGGTAACAATTAAGTATCTTACTGTGATTGTTTTCAATTAAAATGGTCAAAAAGAAAAAATAATAGCGTTACTCAAGCAAGAGTTTTGCTAGGACTGTCTGAGTGAGGGGCCTAATTGGATGAACCTAATGGGAGGGATATGTAACCTGAAAACTAGCTGTTATTGGCAAAGAGGTTTGAAACTCATTATTATTGGTCTATAAAGTTATACCGCCTGGTGACGTCGCCAGGCAGGCCAAAAGACCATCCCACCAAAACAGCGTCGCCAGGCAGGCCAAAACACCATCCCACCAAAACAGGTCGACATTTCAGCCTGTCTTTTAAAACAGCTCTTACTCTAAAAGTGCATATATATATATATACAGTGAGCTCCATAATTCATTGGACAGTGACCATTGTTTTGTTATTTTGGTTCTGTACTCTAGCACTTTGAGTTTGAAAGGATACAATGACAATGAGCGTGAAGTGCAGACTGTCAGCTTTAATTTGAGGGTATTTTCATACATATCGGATGAACTGTTTAGAAATGACAGCACCTTTTGTACATGGTCCCCCCATTTTAAGGTACTACAAGTATTTGTTAAATTGGCTTCACAGATGTGTGTCGTTAGGCAGGTGTATTCATTTGTGTCGTTAGTGAATGCAGGAGAGCTGTTGATGAATAGTAATGATTCTAGACTTTGCTATTGCCTTTGGAGGTTGTTATTGGGGTGTGACAACATGAGGAAGACAGCAGTGTCGATGCAAATGAAGTTGGCCGTCATAAGGCTCAGAAAAAAGGCTCAGAAAAAAAAACACTCCTGAGTGGCGCAGTGGTCTAAGGCACTGCATAGCAGTGCTAACTGTGCCACTAGAGATCCTGGTTCGAATCCAGGCTCTGTCACAGCCGGCCGCGACCGGGAGACTCATGGGCGGCGCACAATTGGCCAGCGTCGTCCAGGGTAGGGGAGGGAATGGCCGGCAGGGATGTAGCTCAGTTGATAGAGCATGGCGTTTGCAACGCCAGGGTTGTGGGTTCGATTCCCACGGGGGGCCAGTATAAAAAAATATGTATTCACTAACTGTAAGTCGCTCTGGATAAGAGCGTCTGCTAAATGACTAAAATGTAAATGTAATGTAAATGAAATGAAAATCAATCATTCAGGAACATTGCAAAAACCCTGGCCATGCCCAAGTCAACAGTTTTGTTCATCATTAACAAGAAAAAAACAACCGGTGAACTCAATTATGTCAAAAGACCCGGTAGACAGAGGAAGACCACTGTAGTGGATGACCGGAGAATACTCTCTATGGTGAAGAAAAAACCCCTGATAACAGCCCAACAGATCAAAAACACTCTCCTGGATGCAGGTGTAGATGTGTCAAAGTCTACCATACGCAGAAGACTACACCAGCAGGACTACAGAGGGTACACTACAAGATGCAAACCACTGATAAGCCTGAAGAACAGAAAGGCGAGATTACAGTTTGCTAAAAAGCACCTAAAAGAGCCCCAAGAGTTCTGGAAAAAAGTATTGTGGACAGATGAGACAAAGATTAACATGTACCAGAGTGATGGAAAGACAAAAGTGTGGAGAAAAAAAAGAAATGCCCATGATCCAAAGCATACCACCTCATCCATGAAACATGGTGGAGGGGGTGTTATGGCTTGGGCCTGTATGGCTGCCAGTGGAACAGGCTCACTTGTCTTCATCGATGATGTGACTGCAGACAGAAGTAGAACAATGAATTCTGAAGTCTACAGAAATATTTTATCTGCTCAGATAAAACCAAATGCCTCCAAACTCATTGGACGGCACTTAATCATGCAACAAGACAATGACCCTAAACATACTGCTAGAGCAAAAAGGGGTTTTTGATGGCCAAAAAGTGGAAAATCCTTGACTGGCCGAGTCAATCACCAGATCTGAATCCAATTGAACATGCATTTTACATGCTGAAGAGGAGACTTAAGGCAATAAGTCCCCGAAACAAGCAGGAACTGAAGATGGCTGCAGTACAGGCCTGGCAGAGCATCACCAGGGAAGATACCCAGCGTCTGGTGATGGCGATGCATCGCAGACTTCAAGCAGTCATTGCATGCAAAGGATATGCGACCAAATATTAACAATGATTACTTTATTCTACATTATGTTAAACTGTCCAATGTTTTTTGATGCCCGAAAATGGGGGGGACCATGTACAAAAGCTTCTATAATTCGTAAACAGTTCATCCGATATGTATGAAAATACCCTCAAATTAAAGCTGACAGTCTGCACTTCACCCGCATTGTCATTGTATCCTTTCAAACTCAAAGTGCTAGAGTACAGAACCAAAATAACAAAAGAATGGTCACTGTCCAGTGAATTATGGAGCTCACTGTATATATATACAGTGGGGGAAAAAAGTATTTAGTCAGCCACCAATTGTGCAAGTTCTCCCACTTAAAAAGATGAGAGAGGCCTGTAATTTTCATCATTGGTACACGTCAACTATGACAGACAAAATGAGAAAAAAAAATCCAGAAAATCACATTGTAGGATTTGTAATGAATTTATTTGCAAGTTATGGTGGAAAATAAGTATTTGGTCAATAACAAAAGTTTCTCAATACTTTGTTATATACCCTTTGTTGGCAATGACACAGGTCAAACGTTTTCTGTAAGTCTTCACAAGGTCTTCACACACTGTTGCTGGTATTTTGGCCCATTCCTCCATGCAGATCTCCTCTAGAGCAGTGATGTTTTGGGGCTGTCGCTGGGCAACACAGACTTTCAACTCCCTCCAAAGATTTTCTATGGGGTTGAGATCTGGAGACTGGCTAGGCCACTCCAGGTCCTTGAAATGCTTCTTACGAAGCCACTCCTTCGTTGCCCGGGTGGTGTGTTTGGGATCATTGTCATGCTGAAAGACCCAGCCACGTTTCATCTTCAATGCCCTTGCTGATGGAAGGAGATTTTCACTCAAAATCTCACGATACATGGCCCCATTCATTCTTTCCTTTACACGGACCAGTCGTCCTGGTCCCTTTGCAGAAAAACAGCCCCAAAGCATGATGTTTCCACCCCCATGCTTCACAGTAGGTATGGTGTTCTTTGGATGCAACTCAGCATTCTTTGTCCTCCAAACACGACGAGTTGAGTTTTAGTTTATTTGGTTCTATTTTGGTTTCATCTGACCATATGACATTCTCCCAATCCTCTTCTGGATCATCCAAATGCACTCTAGCAAACTTCAGACGAGCCTGGACATGTACTGGCTTAAGCAGGGGGACACGTCTGACACTGCAGGATTTGAGTCCCTGGCGGCGTAGTGTGTTACTGATGGTAGGCTTTGTTACTTTGGTCCCAGCTCTCTGCAGGTCATTCACTAGGTCCCCCCGTGTGGTTCTGGGATTTTTGCTCACCGTTCTTGTGATCATTTTGACACCACGGGGTGAGATCTTGCGTGGAGCCCCAGATCGAGGGAGATTATCAGTGGTCTTGTATGTCTTCCATTTCCTAATAATTGCTCCCACAGTTGATTTCTTCAAACCAAGCTGCTTACCTATTGCAGATTCAGTCTTCCCAGCCTGGTGCAGGTCTACAATTTTGTTTCTGGTGTCCTTTGACAGCTCTTTGGTCTTGGCCATAGTAGAGTTTGGAGTGTGACTGTTTGAGGTTGTGGATAGGTGTCGTTTATACTGATAACAAGTTCAAACAGGTGCCATTAATACAGGTAACGAGTGGAGGACAGAGTAGCCTCTTAAAGAAGAAGTTAGAGGTCTGTGAGAGCCAGAAATCTTGCTTGTTTGTAGGTGACCAAATACTTATTTTCCACCATAATTTGCAAATAAATTCATTAAAAATCCTACAATGTGATTTTCTGGATTTTTTTTCTCAATTTGTCTGTCATAGTTGACGTGTACCTATGATGAAAATTACAGGCCTCTCTCATCTTTTTAAGTGGGAGAACTTGCACAATTGGTGGCTGACTAAATACTTTTTTACCCCACTGTATATATTACCACCAGTCAAAAGTTTGGACACACCTACTCATTCAAGGGTTTTTATTTATTTATACAATTTTCTTTACATTGTAAAATAATAGTGAAGACATAAACTATGAAATAACACATGGAATCATGTAGTAACCAAAAAAGTGTTAAACAAATCAAAATATATTTTATATTTGAGATTCTTCAAATAGCCACCCTTTGCCTTGATGACAGCTTTGCGCACTCTTGGCATTCTCTCAACCAGCTTCATGAGGTTGTCACCTGGAATGCATTTCAATTAACAGGTGTGCCTTCTTAAAAGTTAATTTGTGGAATTTCTTTCCTTCTTAATGCGTTTGAGCCAATCAGATGTGTTGTGACAAGGTGGGGGGGGGGGGGGTATACAGAAGATAGCCCTATTTGGTAAAATACCAAGTCCCTATTATGGCAAGAACAGCTCAAATAAGCAAATAGAAAAGACAGTCCATCATTACTTTAAGACATGAAGGTCAGTCAATACAGAACATTTCAAGAGCTTTGAACGTTTCTTCAAGTGCAGTCGCAAAAACCATCAAGCGCTATGATGATAATGGCTCTCATGAGGACTGCCACAGGAAAGGAAGACCCTGAGTTACCTCTGCTGGAGAGGATAAGTTCATTAGAGTTACCAGCCTCAGATTGCAGCCCAAATAAATGCTTCACAGAGTTCAAGTAACAGACACATCTCAACATCAACTGTTCAGAGGAGACTGCGTGAATCAGGCCTTCATGGTCGAATTGCAGTAAAGAAACCACTACTAAAGGACACCAATAAGAAGAAGAGACTTTCTTGGGCCAAGAAACACGTGCAATGGACATTAGACCGGTGGAAATCTGTCCTTTGGTCTGATGAGTCCAAATTTGAGGATTTTGGTTACAACCGCTGTGTCTTTGTGAGAAGCGGAGTAGGTGAACGGATGATCTCCGCATGTGTGGTTCCCACCGTGAAGCATGGAGGAGGAGGTGTGATGGTGTGGGGGTGCTTTTCTGGTGACACTGTCAGTGAGTTATTTAGAATTCAAGGCACACTTAACCAGCATGGCTACCACAGCATTGTGCAGTGATACGCTATCCATCTGGTTTGCGCTTATTAGGACTATCATTTGTTTTTCAACAGGACAATGACTCAACACACCTCCATGCTGTGTAAGGGCTATTTAACCAAGAAGGAGAGTGATGGAGTGCTGCATCAGATGACCTGGCCTCCATAATCACCCGACCTCAACCCAATTGAAATGGTTTGGGATGAGTCGGACCGCAGAGTGAAGGAAAAGCAGCCAACAAGTGCTCAGCTTATGTGGGAACTCCTTCAAGACTGTTGGAAACGCATTCCAGGTGAATCTGGTTGAGAGAATGCCAAGAGTGTGCAAAGCTCTTATCAAGGCAAAGGGTGGTTACTTTGAAGAATCTCAAATATAAAATATATTTAGATTTGTTTAACACATTTTTGGTTACTATATGATTCCATATGTGTTATTTCATAGTTTTGATGTCTTCCCTATTATTCTACAATGTAGAAAATAGTAAAAAATAAATAAAAAACTTGAATGAAGTAGGTGTGTCCAAACGTTTGACTGGTACTGTATATATAAATAAAATAAAAACACAAATCATGTTTTTGGCCGCACTGGGCCTTTTAACTCCAACTCTTGCTCAACTGTAACATTTTCGTCCAACCTGTGTGTAACAGTCTTTCTGCTTAACCGCTTTGGTTTAACGTGTGTGTGTTTAAGTCCCTCTCCCCTCTCTCTGGCTACCAACCTTGACCTCTTGCTGTCTTTTTCTGTCCTCCCTTCCAGTTTGCCACCGGGCCCCGTGCTTTACACCAACAGGTACTAACTCCCCTTACCTTCCCCAAAATGGCTTCCATCTCAATAGGACAGTAGACAGTAGTGCATGAATGCACATTTTACTTTAGAGAAGGATGAGGCTAAAGAACCATTCTAGTTCTGACCAGCTCCAGCTGTAACTACACCCAAAACCACCTGATTTGAATGAAATATATAAAAAAAATGGATCTATTTAAGACCATGAGTAGTAGTTGTGTGCTGTGCTAGAATCTGTCCCTCAGCCTTTTGTGGATCTCCGGGACCAGGGGTTTCCACAGTGAAGACGTTCAGGCTGGTAACCCCATAGGCTACCCATGATAACACCTGATATGACACCACCCGCAGTAGGGCAGTTCAGTAAAGGTACTAGGCACCGCAGCAGCATGGTCTGCCGGTTTTACATTTCACCTGTACATGTTTAAATTGGTTACCCCAATCAAGCAAAGTGCTGGCCAAACCACTGGCTAGGCCTGCAATCAGAGGCTTGGATGAAACTAGAAGACATATGCTAGTCCCTTGTGAATTTAAGGCTGTTACCCCATCTCCAGCTTTATATTTCTGTGATGTCTTCATATTTTCTGATGGTCAGCTGCATGTGAAAGACTTATGTTTTGCACTGCTAACTGTAATGTCTGAGTGATTTACTGCTGCTTCTTATATTCTCTCTCACATTCCTTCTGCTCTCTTTTTTAATTACCGTACTCTCTTATCTTCTTCCTATTTTTCTCTTGCCCTTCTGTCACACCCCCCGTTCTCTGCTCGTGTGTTGTCCGGCTGAAGGGTGGATACAGGGCACTGCAGGTAACAGCTTCTCTCTTCCTTCTCATCCTCTTTCCGTCTAACCTAACCGTAGTTCCACCTGAGTCTATAGAACCTGAGGGTTGAATGCTACGAGAACCGTATCAACTATGAAGTGTCCAGTTGCCTACCACACAGGCTTGTAAATCCCTCAGTAAAAACCCCTGGCAGTCATCGTGTGTTCAGCTCTGTGGAGTATCAACCTACCTCAACCATCTGATATTTTAGCCATGCAGCACGCACACACACACACACATACACAAATATACTGTATATATTCTGACAGTTTCTGTCCCTCCCCCCTTCTCTAGCCTTACTATGCCAACAGGCCCATCAGTGCCCCCCGGGTCCAGACCAGCAGCGGGCCTCGTCCGGTGGGTCCCACCCACATCTACCAGCCCGGCTCCCAGATGATGATGATCCCTGGGCAGCAGCTGTCCTTTGCTGGATCCCCTCAGGGCTACTTCATCCCCCCTGGACAGGTACCACAACTGGTCATCATCATGTTATGTTTCTGAAAAACCTGGGAATTTCTGGAAAGTTTTTAAAAAAAAATTTGCAACCCTAATTGTATAACACCGCTCATGCAGTATTCCAGCCCAAAAAGTCTAAAGTCAAGAGTAGTTACATACTATTGTAGCTATACCTAAACATAGCAAATGGGAAGCTTGATCCCTTTAGGACAGGTACAGTGAGGGAAAAAAGTAATTGATCCCCTGCTGATTTTTGCCCACTGACAAACAAATGATCAGTCTATAATTTTAATGGTAGGTTTATTTTAACAGTGAGAGACAGAATAACAACAAAAAAATCCAGTAAAACGCATGTCAAAAATTTTATAAATTGATTTGCATTTTAATGAGGGAAATAAGTATTTGACCCCCTCTCAATCAGAAAGATTTCTGGCTCCCAGGTGTCTTTTATACAGGTAACGAGCTGAGATTAGGAGCACACTCTTAAAGGGAGTGCTCCTAATCTCAGCTTGTTACCTGTATAAAAGACACCTGTCCACAGAAGCAATCAATCAATCAGATTCCAAACTCCCCACCATGGCCAAGACCAAAGAGCTCTCCAAGGATGTCAGGGACAAGATTGTAGACCTACACAAGGCTGGAATGGGCTACAAGACCATCGCCAAGCAGCTTGGTGAGAAGGTGACAACAGTTGGTGCGATTATTCGCAAATGGAAGAAACACAAAATAACTGTCAATCTCCCTCGGCCTGGGGCTCCATGCAAGATCTCACCTCGTGGAGTTGCAATGATCATGAGAACGGTGAGGAATCAGCCCAGAACTACACGGGAGGATCTTGTCAATGATCTCAAGGCAGCTGGGACCATAGTCACCAAGAAAACAATTGGTAACACACTACGCCGGGAAGGACTGAAATCCTGCAGCGCACGCAAGGTCCCCCTGCTCAAGAAAGCACATATACAGGCCCGTCTGAAGTTTGCCAATGAACATCTGCATGATTCAGAGGAGAATTGGGTGAAAGTGTTGTGGTCAGATGAGACCAAAATCGAGCTCTTTGGCATCAACTCAACTCGCCGTGTTTGGAGGAGGAGGAATGCTGCCTATGACCCCAAGAACACCATCCCCACCGTCAAACATGGAGGTGGAAACATTATGCTTTGGGGGTGTTTTTCTGCTAAGGGGACAGGACAACTTCACCGCATCAAAGGGACGATGGACGGGGCCATATACTGTCAAATCTTGGTTGAGAACCTCCTTCCCTCAGCCAGGGCATTGAAAATGGGTCGTGGATGGGTATTCCAGCATGACAATGACCCAAAACACACGGCCAAGGCAACAAAGGAGGTGCTCAAGAAGAAGCACATTAAGGTCCTGGAGTGGCCTAGCCAGTCTCCAGACCTTAATCCCATAGAAAATCTGTGGATGGAGCTGAAGGTTCGAGTTGCCAAACGTCAGGCTCGAAACCTTAATGACTTGGAGAAGATTTGCAAAGAGGAGTGGGACAAAATCCCTCCTGAGTTGTGTGCAAACCTGGTGGCCAACTACAAGAAACGTCTGACCTCTGTGATTGCCAACAAGGGTTTTGCCACCAAGTACTAAGTCATGTTTTGCAGAGGGGTCAAATACTTATTTCCCTCATTAAAATGTTTTTGACATGTGTTTTTCTGGATGTTTTTGTTGTTATTCTGTCTCTCACTGTTCAAATAAACCTACCATTAAAATTATAGACTGATCATGTCTTTCTCAGTGGGCAAACGTACAAAATCAGCAGGGGATCAAATACTTTTTTCCTTCAATGTAACTCACTGTCCTAAACATTAACACAGTTCTAAGTGTCCTCTCTGCCCCCCTCTCTCTCTGTAGTACCGGACTCCCTACATGCCACCCAGTCCACAGTACCCTGTGACAAGTGGGACAGCAGGCTTCTACCCAGGAACCAGCCCGGCTGAATACCCCACCTATGGTAAGAGGCTCCCCTCTGGGCCGGACCCCACCTGCCAAGCACAACCACCATGACCACAACCACAATCTTGATTAGAACCACAGGCATGACTAGATCAGCAGCTTCAACCTAGTATTGAACCGCAATGACCGCTAGAACCACAACCATGGCTAGACTATATCAAACCACAACCTTACCCAGGACCATAACTGTAAATACAACCAAAACCACATCCATGATAAGAACTGGGGCCACATGCACCCAGAGATATCTTCAGTCAGTTGATCTTACAGTCGGTGGATCTTGCAGTCGGTGGATCTTGCAGTCGGTGGATCTTGCAGTCGGTGGATCTTGCAGTCGGTGGATCTTGCAGTCGGTGGATCTTGCAGTCGGTGGATCTTGCAGTCGGTGGATCTTGCAGTTGGTGGATCTTGCAGTCGGTGGATCTTAGAGTTGATCAGTCAGTCAATTGATCTTACAGTCGGTTGGTTAGTTGCTCTTACGGTTCCTCTTACGGTTGATCTTAGTTGGTCAGTCAGTTGATCAAATCAAATGTTATTGTCGCGTACACATATTTTGCAGTTATCGCAGGTGCAGCGAAATGCTTATGTTTCTAGCTCCAACAGTGCAGTAATACCTAACAATACACACAAATCCCCCTCCCCTCCAAAAAAAAGACATTAAGTAAAAACTAGCAATGTCAGAGTCCTGTGTGTGTGTGTATATATATAGTGTATTCGGAAAGTATTCAGACCCCTTGACTTTTTACACATTTTGGTATGTTACAGCCTTATTCTAAAATTGATTAAATTGTTATTTTCCTCATCAATCTACCCACAATACCCCATAATGACAAAGCAAAAACAGGTTTTTAGAAATGTTTGCAAATGTATTACTAGTAAAGAACGGAAATATCACATTTACATAAGTATTCAGACCCTTTCCTCAGTACTTTGTTATAGCACCTTTGGCAGCGATTACATGCTTGAATCTTCTTGGGTATGACGCTACAAGCTTGGCACACCTGTATTTGGGGAGTTTCTCCCATTCGTTTCTGCAGATCCTCTCAAGCTCTGTCAGGTTGGATGGGGAGTTTCACTGCACAGCTATTTTCAGGTTTCTCCAGAGATGTTTGATCGGGTTCAAGTCCGGGCTCTGGCTGGGCCACTCAAGGACATTCAGAGACTTGTCCCGAAGCCACTCCTGCGTTGTCTTGGCTGTGTGCTTAGGGTTGTTGTCCTGTTGGAAGGTGAACCTTCGCCCCAATTGAGGTCCTGAGCGCTCTGGAGCAAGTTTTCATCAAGGATTTCTCTGTACTTTGCTCCTTTCATCTTTCCCAGTCCCTGCCGCTGAAAAACATTCTCACAGCATGATACTGCCACCACCATGCTTCACCGGGATGGTGCCAGGTTTCCTCCAGACGTGACGATTGGCATTCCGGCCAAAGAGTTCAATCTTGGTTTCATCAGACCAGAGAATCTTGTTTCTCATGGTCTGAGAGTCCTTTAGGTGCCTTTTGGCAAACCCCAAGCGGGCTGTCATGTGCCTTTTACTGAGGAGTGGCTTCCGTCTGGCCACTCTACCATAAAGGCCTGATTGGTGGAGTGCTGCAGAGATGGTTGACCTTCTGTAAGGTTCTCCCATCTCCACAGAGGAACTCTGGAGCTCTGTCAGTGACCATCTGGTTCTTGGTCACCTCCCTGACCAAGGCCCATCTCCCCTGATTGCTCAGTTTGGCAGGGCTGCCAGCTCTAGGAAGAGTCTTGGTGGTTCCAAACTTCTTCCGTTTTAAGAATGATGGAGGTCCCTGTGTTCTTGGGGACCTTCAATGCTGCAGAAATGTTTTGGTACCCTTCCCCAGATCTGTGCCTCAACACAATCCTGTCTTGGAGCTCTACGGACAATTCCTTCAACCTCATGGCTTGGTTTTTGCTCTGACATGCACTGTCAACTGTGGGACCTTATATAGACAGGTGTGTGCCTTTCCAAATCATGTCCAATCAATTTAATTGATCACAGTTGGACTCCAAGTTGTAGAAGCATCTCAAGGATGATCAATGGAAACAGGATGCACCTGAGCTCAATTTCGATTCTCATAGCAAAGGATCTGAAACAGGATGCACCTGAGCTCAATTTCGATTCCTATAGCAAAGGGTCTGAATGTAAATAAAATATTTCTGTTTATTTTTAATACATTTGCAAACATTTCTAAAAACCTGTTTTCGATTTGTCATTATGGAGTATTGTGTGTAGGTAGATTGATGCGTAAATACATTTTATTTAATCCATTTTAGAATAAGGCTGTAACGTAACAATGTGGAAAAATGGAAGGGGTCTGAATACTTTCCGAATGCACTGTATAATGGTGTGTATGGACAGTATATGAATAGAAAAGGTGTGTACAGCAGTAGTTATATAGGATGAGCCTTGACTAGAATACAGTATACTTATGAAGTGGGTAAAACACTATGTAAACATTATTAAAGTGACCGGTGTTCAGTGAGTATGTACATAGTGCAGCAGTCTCTAAGGTGCAGGGTTGAGTACCAGGTGGTAACCAGCTCTTACAGTTGGTCGATCAGTTAATAATAAATGCAATTTAGCAGACTCTTTTATCCAAAGCGACTTAGTCATGCGTGGCTATATTTTACGTATGGGTGGTCCCGGGAATCGAACCCACTTCCCTGGCGTTACAAACGCCATGCTCTACCAACTGAGCTACAAAGGACCACTAGTTGATCTTACAATTGCTCTTGTAGTTGCACTTGTAGTTGATCTTACGGTTGGCCAGTCAGTTGATCTTACGGTTGGCCAGTCAGTTGATCTTACGGTTGGCCAGTCAGTTGATCTTACGGTTGGCCAGTCAGTTGATCTTACAGTTGATTCATTGCTGTGTGGCCTTGCTGGTTGTGTGTGGTGGTTTGGCCTGGCAGTGTGTGTGTGTATGGTGGTCTCTGTTCTCTCTTTAGGATCCAAGGCTATATGTATGTATGAATGGGTTATGGCTTTGGTTCAGTCTATCATTCTTCTCACCTGCTGCTTCTTACTGCCTTAACACCCTGCTTACCTCTGGTTCCCTTCTCCTTCACTCACTCTGCATTGGTCTCTTCCTGTCCTCCCCCTTTCATATTCCTTCCCTATCTCCCTCTCCTCCCCCTGTCATGTTGTGTTCAGAGCCCTCTCTGGCTGCGAGGGAGAGGAGAGGGGGCGGGCGAGAGAACGGGCGTCTCTCTCTCCACGGTGCTCCTCTCACCTCCCAGCGCTACCCCGGTGAGTAAGTGTGTGTGTATTTGCGTGTGTGTGAGTAAGTGTGTGTGTATTTGCGTGTGTGTGTGTACGCATGTGTGTGTTGCTCAGTATGTGCTGGGCTGCATCTTTGTCTGCCCAGCACATAGTAGGTGTTTTTGTTTGGTTTGTAGAGGTTCTTTCCCCTTGTGTTTTGTTGCGGATGCATGTGGTTATTTTAGCGTGTGGTTATTTCAATGCGTGTTTAGTCTGTATGGTATGTCTGTGGCTCTTTCAGGGTATGAATGTCTGTGGCTCTTTTAGGGTATGAATGTCTGTGGCTCTTTTAGGGTATGAATGTCTGTGGCTCTTTTAGGGTGTGAATGTCTGTGGCTCTTTTATGGTGTGAATGTCTGTGGCTCTTTTCTTTAGGCTGTGAATGTCTGTGGCTCTTTTTTTTAGGCTGTGAATGTCTGTGGCTCTTTTTTTTTTAGGCTGTGAATGTCTGTGGCTCTTTTTTTTAGGCTGTGAATGTCTGTGGCTCTTTTTTTAGGGTGTGTAGCGTTCCATGCGGTGTGTTTTACTTCCCTCCCTTTCTCCCTCCCCCCTCCCCTCTACAGCAGGTGCCTACTACCCGGCCCAGCCCCAGTACAGCCACACACCCCCTGTCCAGACCGCGCCCGTCATGATAAGCCCCGCCCAGCCCCAGCAGCAGGCCCTGCCCCCTCAGCCGACGCCGACCCAACCACCTGCACCCAAGAGGGAGCGTGTAACGGTACTGCATTTCCACTGAGACTATACCCCGGTGTTTGGCCTAAACACTCAGACTTTTGAGTTTCCACTAGGGATGTTAGCCGCCGAAAATACATTTGACCGGTCATGCTTATCGGGCAATTTGCATAATTTAGCGGAATTAAATTGGCGAGTGTGTATTTTCGTTAGTAGTCATGCATGTTATTTATCACATGCGCACAGCATACAGAGCCTAGTTTGAGGAGTGGAATATCCTATCACCTGTCAGACAGTGCGAGAGTAGCTCCTCACTGGAGTGAAATGTGCTTTTGTAAGCCCAGTCATTGCGCAACAAATTCTAAATGCAATCGCGTGTTAAACTTTGATGGCCACTATTTAAATGGAGCTATTTTTATTTGTCAATCAACTCGTAAATTAAAGGGCGCTTCCCATTCGCCATTCGAGTGCATAGGCTATAGTCAACGGTATGCAGGCTATCAGCGCGTCACCCACCTCTTTGCAATGTGAGCTTGAGGCAGTAATTGTCTGAAAGCTGAACGTTTTACTTTACTTCAAATAATGAGGCATGTCTTACCTTGCTTCAAAGTAGCCTTGCGAAAATCCATCCATAGAAACGTGGAGACAATTATTTTATAAAGAGTTCCTGATGCCATTAACCAGCTTTTGTCTCCTGTTCTATTTGTTTTCATATCAACTTTCTTTCATTGTCCAGAAGCCGAAGGCACAATCCTAGTTATATTAGCAACCCATCCTAGTTGTTGTTATAGATTCCCCCTCTTTCTAAGTTTCTAACTGATAATCTCTGTCACATATGGAACCGCTCGCATTAGGTGCGCTGTTTAGACTGGTGTTTTCCAGAGAATTTGCATTTTGGCTGTAGCCTTTTGACTGTAAAACGATAGGCTTGCTATCATTGCATGTTTCCATTAAGCGCTTCATGAAAAATGTCTGGTCCTTGTATGCATGCATAGTATCAGAGAGGAAGAACAGAAGCGAGACCTCTCGCCAAAATCAGTCTAAAACAAGCCCAATGCGTTTCTATGTCGCCTGCCTTCCAGCCTTGGGACGACTACCATTATTAGAGCAGATCTCTGATAGTATTTTACTGTTTGGAAGTCATTTAACCGTTTGTTAAACGGTTAATGAGGGTCAGTTAGTCGGCATCCTTAGTTTCCACTAAGTATATTATTTGCGCATTTCCACTGAGGATTTACCCCAATGTTTTACCCAAAATGCTCAGACTTTTCTGTCTCCGTCTACGCGGACTATCACCCGTGTCTCACTGGGCCATGGCTCCGGTGGACCTGCTCTAGTTTGGAAGCAAGGCCCTGGGTACTTTTCAGCTGGCATTTACTAGAGCCTGACCGATATGGGATTTCTGGGTCCGATACCGATTTTTAGGGAGGCAACAGTCACCGTTTACCGGTATATTTGCATAAGTATGTATTTTTTTCAGAAGTTCTGCTCCAAAGGATTAACAGATACTCTGATTTCTTAACTAAATAATTTTAGAACATTTTATTTGTGGTTTACATGATATCCACCAAAAAGCAACGATATATCCTCTAAATCAGAAAGTAAATACAAAACACTTGTTCAGTTTACCTTCTTAGGTACAACTTAAAGATGTAGATAAAGGTGAAAGAAACGCACACCTATTTAGGCGAGGTGCTGGCTGACGGCGTAAAACACTTCAAAAAGAAAAGGAAAGCCGCACACTCTAGGAGCTCAGATGCAATAATTTAATATCTTAATAACCAACGTTTCGACAGACAAGCTGTCTTCATCAGGGTATAATGACAAACACTGCGGGTCACTGGTTTATATAGTGTCAAAGGACACACGCAGGTGTCTGTAATCATGGCCGGGTGTGGCCTAATAGCATTGGCCAATTCACAGATAAAAACAACATACAAAAAACATGGATAGCATATGATCATAGATACATAGCTACATAGGCCCACAACATTTACAATGAATAGCTAAATCACAAGAATGGCTTCAAATCAAAGTCTACGTTGAGACCGAAGGGAGCAAGGGTCTTTAAATTAAGGATCCAGGCAGCCTCTCGTTTTAACAATAAGTTGTCGAGGTCACCCCCTCTCCTAGGGAGGGTGACATGTTCGATGCCGATATAACGTAGGGAAGAAATCGAGTGGTTCGATTCCAAAAAGTGGGCAGCGACTGGGTATGTCGAGTTTTGGCACCTAATGGTGCTACGATGCTCCGAGATTCGTACTTTTAATTCGCGCTTTGTTTTACCCACATAATTTTTACCACAAGGACAAGTTATAAGATAAATAACTGCCTTAGTGGAACACGTAATAACACCTTTGATTGGGATCTGTTTCCCTGTTTGGGGGTGTTTGAAGGATCTACATTTGTAAGTGCCATTGCATTGAGCACAGCCGTTACACTTGTAGTTTCCATCCGGTAGAGGCGCAAATAGACGATGCAATCTGACTGACAATCTATTGGCTATATATTTCAGCTGCAAATGGCATGCGCTGATGACTGAATGTTAATGCAGGAAAAAGCTTGCCGCACTGGTTTTAGCCACACACGTTCTAATTTAGCTAGCTAACAATCTTATCTCATCTCATCATGAGTGTAAGCATATGGCCTGAATGATAGATCTGTACCAACTAAGTAAACCACTAACATAATAGGCCAGACAGTAAGTGTTCTTTTTGTATCAAGGATGAGTCTGTGTTCACTTTGGCTCCAATCCAGTGTTTGCGCATAAACAGCACAGATTGCTTGCTTTGCTAGCTAGGCTAAGTAACTTGTTGGCTAGATGGAGCCTAACTACATTGCTGGTTAGCTAGCCAGCTAGCCAGCTAACGTTAATCAAGTGAGCATGTGATGACAGGGCTACTTGTTTGGTGAAGTGTACTTGTGATTATTTACTTATTCAAATACGCTGTTGACTTATGGGCTGAATGATGTTCAATGAGCAGTTTGTAGAGCGCCCTCTTCAGGCAACCATTGAAAATTCCAAAAATGACCGCAAATGAGCACACGTATTTGTTAATTCTATGTATATAATATTGGCGCGTTATTGGTGGAATAAAGACAGATACAAATGTTTCTGTGAAAGGTTCATATCGGCCGATTTAATGTCTTAAGTTTAACACTACTTACGGAAACACAATAACACTAGAGCTTACATTTCACATAAAACACTGGAGGCCCACTGGTGTGGGGATAAATCTCAATGAGAAAGCACCATATGAGCCAAAAAATACCTACACTGACATGGGCTCAGACTGGGCCAGTGTAGGACTAGTTTAGACGGTAGGAGGGGTGACGGGAGAAGAGAATGGGACTTTATTTAGGCCTATTTAACCAGTGTCATCGGTGCAAAACGTTTTGCAACGGGAAATGAAAACTAGCATTTCATGCATATTGAAAGTTCAGTCCCTCCCAGTTTCGGTCAGTTTTCTTCTGTTTGGCGCCTAGTGAATAAGACCCATGCTAGTCAGTTAATAGCACATTTATATTTGCAATGACCGCTTGGGGCGATGTGATTGTCTTAATACTATAAAGTAATTTTTAGAACTACAGTATAGACTGTTTAACCTCATCCTGCCCCCCCTTCTCACCCCTCCTAGATCAGAATACGAGACCCCAACCAGGGGGGCCGTGACATCACAGAGGAGATAATGTCCGGGGGAAGGGCTTCTTCCACCCCCCCACAGGTACGTATCACAACCCACTGGGGCCTGTTCAGGAGCATGTAACGTTACAGAATGCACAGATAGGAACATTGTTGTCCAATTATTAGATTTCTTGCTGTTAACATCCTGAAACTTTGTGATTTGGTATTTATCATATGAGGACATCATCAAACTATAAAAAAAAAAAAAAAAGCAGAAATGTATCATATGGAACCGATATGATTGTCAGTCAGATAGAACAGGGAATCGTGTCAGCTCTATACATTCTAGTTCAATACATTCAACGTTAAGTGTTTCACATCACTCAATACATCCCCTGATTTCTCCTCCTCATTGGAATCATTCCCAGTGATGAGCTCAAAATGCAAGTTTGGAATCCTGTGGCTTTGAGATGATTCCACAGCGATGATGTCATAGAGGAAACCAGGAAGTTTGGAATGGAAGCCAGATGTTCCAAAACAGTTCCATGCAGTTAGTGTTTATTTTTACGGTTGTTGTGTGTTGTCGCCAACTCTCAACTCGGCTGGTTTTGATCAACCAGGCAATGGGATAGCATTAGAAAAAAACTGTTAGTATTTTGTATCTAGTATATTTTTGCAAAGCTAGTTTTGACGTTGCTTCCTGTTTTCTGCCGCTAGTCCTTCACCACAGAGGAAGAAGGTCCTGCCCAGACCAACGGAGAAGTTACTAAACCCGTCACCATCGTGACGAGAACAGGTGAGCCTCCTCTCAGGTCTTGTGGTACTACAATGTCTTTACAGCCACATTTTGCCAGCATGAATTGAAAAACTAACTTGATCGTCAGGGATTGATTGCAGTACGTTAAAGGTCCAAAACAGTTCCCAACTGATTTCCTTCTTTGTTGCAGATGAAAACGCAGAACCCGCGGTTTGCACAGCGACGGCCGCCGAAACCCCGCCTCCAGTGTCGGCAACTCCAGAGCCTGCCACCGCCACTGTCCCACTGGAGGACAAACAGGAAACCGATGGCCAGGTTGCCCCGCCTACTGAACAGGTCGTCAGCGAATCAGCTGCCCCCATGGCGGGAATGAGGGCCGAGGTGCCCATCCCACCAAGGGAAGACCAGGCCCCTGCCCCCTCCCCCCTGGCAGCTTCTACCTCCCCTCCCCCTGCAGAGGTACAGACTCCACCCCCCGCCACCACCATCGCTCAGGCCAGCCACACGGTGGGCACTGGTATGACCCCCGCGGTGATGGTAGTGACCCCCGAAGGTCCTTCCACACAGGTCGAGCCTCTGGCTGCCCCAGCATCTGTGGAGAAGCCTCCTGCCCGGGTAGTGGAGGAGGTAGTGGTGGAGAAGAAGGTAGAAAAGGTCAAGGAGGAGCCTGCAGTTAACACCAATCCAGAGGTAGTGGCGGCTGTTGCGGTGGCGTTCGCAAAAGAAGACACTAAACCTGCTCCACGACCTGTGACCCCCATCGCTATGGCAACGGTCAACGATTTCGCCCCGTCCTTGAAGTTGGTGGCGGCTGTGGAAGCTCCCACTAAAACTGACAGCGTGGTGTTGCCGCCAGCGCCTAAACAGAAAGCCGCTGTTCCCGTGACTGAGCCCGTCTCTGCCCCCGCTCCTGCCGCCACTCCCTCTGTCCCGGAGGTGGAGCCTGCCGTGGCCCAAAAGGTGGAGCAGCCGCCCCTGTCCAACGGCCTCCCCCAGGAGGACCCCGACGAGGTAGACGCCCCCGTGGCTGCACTAGAGCCTACCGCAACGGCAATCACAGAGCCTGCCACTCCCCCACCTCAGGAAACTTCTAACCCTGCGGCTGCTGCAGTGGCAGAGGAGGAGGAGGATGCATCCCCAGTGCCCTCGTCCAGCAGCCCTTCAGAGGACACGTCTATGCAAGGTAAGAGGGACGTTTTCTTTCTGGTCAGGTCACTTGGTCAGGAAAAACTAGCATGTGCACCAAGGTTTTGGTTTGGCTGAGGCACCCAGAGGTTCTTCGTGGTGTGGCTTCAGGTTTTGATGTAAGAACTTTAATGTAATGCTCCTGTCTTCTCTCTTCTAGCTGCTGTGTCTGTGCCAAAGAAGAAGAGGAACATGAAGGAGCTGAACAAGAAGGAAGCCATCGGAGACATGTTGGATGCCTTCAAAGAGGTGTGTCTGCGTTCGTGCATTGAATAGAGCGGCCTTATGAAGTCAGAAACTATCCTAAACAGTTGTCCGTGACCACCTTTCAAGGTGCACCAGTAGTAAAGCTTGAAAACGTGTAAGATTGTTACTTACAGCACTGCATGGTATCTGCAGCCAGCCGCTACTCCGGTTGGACTGTTCATTAGGGTTGGGCGGTATCCACATTTTCATATAGTCTTACCGTCCTTCTCTTATCCCGGGATCTTCTTGGGTATGACGTTACAAGCTTGGCACACCTGTATTTGTGGAGTTTCTCCCATTCTTCTCTGCAAATCCTCTCAAGCTCTGTCAGGTTGGATGGGGAGCATTGCTGCACAGCTATTTTCAGACCAAGATTTTTATTTGTAATACATGTTTTTGCTTTGTCATTATGGGGGATTGTGTGTAGGTTGATTAGTGGCAAAAACGATTTAATCCATTTTAGAATAAGCTGTAACGTAACAAAATGTGGAAAAAATGAAGGGGTCTGAATACTTTCCGAATGCACTGAATATGGGTAGAAGCAGACAGGGCCAAGAACCAAGAGGAGAACAAACGCAAGGAAATCAGGATAGCACTGGCAGCTGTACAGAACTCATCCAAAGCGCTTTGACTTCTCAAACACGGCAGAAAGCTACACTATATGAGGCCCGTCTCTTTATTAATTCAGCCACTTACTTAGATAACTAGCAAGTTAAACAAAATTAATCGCTGAACTCACCTTTTACCGGTTTCTCCCGTTGTGCTATTTCCAAACAAACACGTGACTGGCTCAACTGTTCTGGGGAACTACGGTAAGATGCACAATGTAATATAACTGAGTGAAATTAAGAACGCCATCGGCTTCATATCCTAACGTATTGCACAAGTTGACTGCAGGTAATTACTTAAAGTAGCTACAAATATAACAATTTATTCAACTTAAAATAAATAGTTTCAAATGTATTGAAAAACCATCCCGTGGCTATTTCCAAATACCCCGGTATACGGTATACTGCCCAAGCCTACTGTTCGTTAGTCAGTGCAAGAGCAACTCTGCATATGGCATCGTTGGTCTCCATGTCTCTGTGCCTGGAGCCCTGGTATGTCTGTCGAGACAAACATTTCACTTCCCAGCAAGTTTATCAGTAAGCGTCCGATTTGCCAATTGAAACTTGTATCTTCAAAAGAGAAGAAGGGGGAAAAAGGACTGTTACTCAGCAGTGTTTTCCACTAGCGTCGGCTAAATGGCCGATTAGACTCATTTTCAGCCGGCTCCTTTTTCCACTTGAATTAACTAGGCTACTTTTCAATTTGATAGTCAGAAAAAAGTCTGCCGAGCCCTCATGAACGATATGCATCTTCTAGCGATCTATTGATAGGACAGACTCCTGTCAGTCACAAAGTGAGCGCTGACAGGGAAACACTGCTGGTTTGACAGTCTGCCGTCTGTCCTGCCTCTCGGTACCTGGGTGTGTGCGCTGTGGTTGCAGTCACATTTCTTTACACGGAGGGAGAGGGCATGATGCTCCTTCGTCTCTGTGATTGAATTTGCACATCCAATATAATGTGGTAATAATGAATCGAAATCCACTTAACCTATTTACTGGCACATTCATTTATTTTCTTTAGCTTGTTTCATATGCAGCCACAGAGGGGTGGCGCATGGGCTATTTACTGTGCTTTGATTTATTGACTAGCAATAAGCTTGACTAGTTTATTAAAGGTGTCGAACTGACTGAATAAAGTCGATCTCGTATCCTTGCCATTCATAAATCATAGAACAAAGTTACACTGAGTGTACAAAACATTAGGAACACCTGCTCTTTCCATGCCATAGACTGACCAGGTGAAAGCTAGGATCCCTTATTGATGCCACTTGTTAAATCCATTTGAATCAGTGTAGATGAAGGGGGTGAGACCGGTTAAAGAAGGATTTTTAAGCCTTGAGACAATTGAGACGTGGATTGTGTATGTGTCATTCAGAGGGTGAATGAGCAAGACAAACGATTTAAGTGCCTTTTGAACGGGGTGTGGTAGTGGGTGCAAGGCGCACTGGTTTGAGTGTGTCAACAACTACAACGCTGCTGGATTTTTCACGCTCAACAGTTTCCAGTGTGTGTCAAGAATGGCCCACCACCCAAAGGATATCCAGCCAACTTGTCAACTGTGGGAAGCATTGGAGTCAACATGGGCCAGCATCCCTGTGGAACGCTTTCGACACCTTGTAAAGTCCATGCCCCAACGAATTGAGGCTGTTCTGAGGGCAAAAGGGGGTGCTACTCAATATTAGGAAGGTGTTCCTAATGTTTTGTACAGTCAGTGTATTATATCCATGGTATCGCATCGTAAACTAAAGATCTCGTTTGTATTTTCGATATGAAGTCCATCAGGACTTGCCAGACAGTGACGTTAAAGTGAATGACTCGTCAGTAGCCAATCGCATCGGTAAGAGAGACGTTCAGTTGGCTCCCTAATTTGCATACTGGTAGTGTTTTTGGCAATTATTTGTGGATTAAATTATGAAAACATTAGACTAAGATTGTGAATACCATATACAGTGGAGGAAAAAAGTATTTGATCCCCTGCTGATTTTGTACGTTTGCCCACTGACAAAGTCATGATCAGTCTATAATTTTAATGGTAGGTTTATTTGAACAGTGAGAGACAGAATAACAACAAAAAATCCAGAGAAACGCATGTCAAAAATTTTATAAATTGATTTGCATTTTAATGAGGGAAATAAGTATTTGACCCCTCTGCAAAACATGACTTAGTACTTGGTGGGAAAACCCTTGTTGGCAATCAGAGGTCAGACGTTTCTTGTAGTTGGCCACCAGGTTTGCACACGTCTCAGGGGGGATTTTGTTCCACTCCTCTGCAGATCTTCTCCAAGTCCCATTTTCTATGGGATTAAGGTCTGGAGACTGGCTAGGCCACTCCAGGACCTTAATGTGCTTCTTCTTGAGCCACTCCTTTGTTGCCTTGGCTGTGTGTTTTGGGTCATTGTCATGCTGGAATACGACCCATTTTCAATGCCCTGGCTGAGGGAAGGAGGTTCTCACCCAAGATTTGACGGTACATGGCCCCGTCCATCGTCCCTTTGATGCGGTGAAGTTGTCCTGTCCCCTTAGCAGAAAAACACCCCCAAAGCATAATGTTTCCACCTCCATGTTTGACGGTGGGGATGGTGTTCTTTGGGTCATAGGCAGCATTCCTTCTCCTCCAAACACAGCGAGTTGAGTTGATGCCAAAGAGCTCGATTTTGGTCTCATCTGACCACAACACTTTCACCTAGTTCTCCTCTGAATCATTCAGATGTTCATTGGCAAACTTCAGACGGGCCTGTATATGTGCTTTCTTGAGCAGGTGGACCTTGCGGGCGCTGCAGGATTTCAGTCCTTCACGGCGTAGTGTGTTACCAATTGTTTTCTTGGTGACTATGGTCCCAGCTGCCTTGAGATCATTGACAAGATCCTCCCGTGTAGTTCTGGGCTGATTCCTCAAAGTTCTCATGATCATTGCAACTCCACGAGGCGAGATCTTGCATGGAGCCCCAGGCCGAGGGAGATTGTCAGTTCTTTTGTGTTTCTTCCATTTGCAAATAATCGCACCAACTGTTGTCACCTTCTCACCAAGCTGCTTGGCGATGGTCTTGTAGCCCAGTATAAAGTATAAAAGACACCTGGGAGCCAGAAATCTTTCTGATTGAGAGGGGGTCAAATACTTATTTCCCTCATTTAAAATGCAAATCAATTCATAACATTTTTGACATGTGTTTTTCTGGATGTTTTTGTTGTTATTCTGTCTCTCACTGTTCAAATAAACCTACCATTAAAATTATAGACTGATCATTTCTTTGTCAGTGGGCAAACTTACAATATCAGCAGGGGATCAAATACTTTTTTCCCTCACTGTAGGTACCTGCTTCATTTTTCAATCATACCTGTATTGCAGATAGCTGAGAAAATGCCTCTTAAAAGGAAGCTTGAAGCCTGTACTTCTGTGGGTCAGTTGCTAAACAAATATTTTATTTATAGATGACATGCTGCAATTCAGAATTGTCGTTCTAACTCTTCTCTTAATACGTATGGACCCAGAACTTAATTGAGCATCTGTTCTGTTTATTTTAGACCCATTTATTCATTAGAAAAATTGCCCATTACACAATTTGTTTGATTTTGTAAGTCGCTCTGGATAAGAGCGTCTGCTAAATGATGAAAATGTAATGTAAAATGTAATTTTAAAATTGAACCTTTAATACCTTTTTTTCAAGGTAAATTACAGAATTTGAAGAACAAACATAATTGTGGCAATTCATATCTTGCAATAAAATACTTTAATCTCAAGAGAAGGCAGGTTAAAGGTCATATTGGCCTAGACAATATCCAAAACAACTAACAATACACTGAATTCATACATTTTCAGTAATTTAAATTGTAAACACAATACCACAACAAATTATTCCAATCTGGGACGTAAACTCAATAAAGTATTCAACAATTTCACTGTGTATTTCGGATGGAATCAAGGCATTGGAATGAACTAGAGGCCACAAATAGAGCTTGTTCTGCAAAAATGTCATAACCCAGCCCAGGGGAGCCTGGCTGGCTACTTTTTCTATTTGGCTGGCTACTCCATGTGCTTGTGGAAAACACTGGTTACTCACCCCAAATCCCCTAACCTTAACCACAAAACTGACTTGAGGTCAGCATGTAGGGGTCTCAACTTCCTTCTACTCTCTTACCCTTCAATCTTCCTGTCCCTTCTCCCCTCTCTCGTCCATACAGGAGAAGGAGGCGGCACCCGCCCCCGAGCCCTCGTCAACTCCGGCAAAGCCCAGCCCTGTGGCCCCTCCCTCCGTGGCGCCCGCTGAAGCTCCAGACGAGACGTGGGAAGAGAAGGAGGACAAGCATAACGCCGACACGCCCCCGCTCAAACCGGGCGACCTCAAGTACCAGTACAAAGGAGGTGGGTGGCCCCTTAGAAATTACTGAAGATAGCAGTCAAGTCATGGCCTCCCGAGTGGCGCAGTGGTCTAAGGCACTGCATCGCAGTACTAGCTGTGCCACTAGAGATCCTGGTTCGAATCCAGGCTCTGTCGTAGCCGGCCGCGACCGGGAGACCCATGGGGCGGCGCACAATTGGCCCAGCGTCATCCAGGGTAGGGGAGGGAATGGCCGGCAGGGATGTAGCTCAGTTGGTAGAGCATGGCGTTTGCAACGCCAGGGTTGTGGGTTCGATTCCCACAGGGGGCCAGTATGAAAAAAAAAAAAAAAAAAAAAAATGTATGCACTCACTAACTGTAAGTCGCTCTGGATAAGAGCGTCTGCTAAATGACTAAAATGTAAATGTGACAATGAATAGCTAATATTCGTTGATTGATTCTTTGTGAGAGGTATCCTAATTTTTCCCCTCACTTGAAATGTCTCATCGTTGAAATGTGCAATGAACTGTCTGTTTCTATAACCACGGATTTTATGCGAGTCAAGTCATAGCGTATAAAAATAAATCGCAACAGCAGTGATGGAAACACAGCTGTTATCGACAGACAATATGTTCGTTTGAAATGGTGGGATCTTTTTGTCGGTAAAATGAATTATGCGACAAATTGCGGTGGAAACAATTTATTGTGTGATTGTTGATAGAATAACTATAATGCCGAGGTAAATTTGCAGTCATGCGATGCTATGTTGTGTGGTCCTCCCACTATGACTTGGAAAAGCATGCACAGTTTAAAGGGCTACAGATTAAATAAATGATGATGAACTTCACAGGGTGGTGAAAGTACACGGTGAAGAGCTTGATGCTCCTTTCCAATAAATATTGAGGGTCTTGTGACATGATGATCGCTGCCAGTTAACAAATGAATGATCTTGCTATTATCCATCTCATCATAAAACCTAACATGTCCACTTTATTAGCGAACTGTTGTCTAGAGAGCATGCGCAAAAACCAGATTGGGCAAGTTTGCCATTTATCGCAACAGTTTTTGTGACTAAACCATCGATAGAGTGGAAAATGCAATGGAAACGCATTGAACTTGTTTTTTTATTCGGTGCATGAGAACTTTAGCGCAAAAGTGTTCTATGTGCACTAGGTCATCGCCCAGCCTTTTATCTGGAAACAAACCTCTGGTGGGAAAATGGACAGTTTGTTAATGCAGATATTATAATATTCGCTTGAAAATCTATCGCAAATTGGATGGAAACCTAGCTACTGTCAAAGACCCCCATTTACTCATGTGTACGGCCAGCGTTATCCCTAATGAAATACATGTCTCTTCAAGAGTAGTCTTATAGATTTGGTTGGGTGTGTTACAACAACAGCTAAGCAGTATAGAGTCCTTCGTAGCAAATTCAACCATTCAAACTCTCACACTCCCTTTTCCTCCGAACAGAGCAATGGAAGCCTATCGACCCAGAGGAGAAGAAGAGGTACGACAGAGTGTTCCTGCTGGGCTGCCAGTTCATTAGTGCCAGCATGAACAAGCCAGAGGGCCTACCTGTCATCAGCGACGTGGTGCTAGAGAAGGTAAGCTATACCATCAAATCAATTCATTTTATGATCCAGTATGGTGACTTTTTATAGGCATCCAGTTAGAAATGTATTATTCACAACTAATAACGGTGCTTTGAAATAAAAGCGATTATGCTCTAGTGCAAATTTTAACACATCTCCTATCTCAATCAGGTGCTTTTCTACTATCTCTGTCCCAATGTTAATTTCAATGTCAAAATCATAAGTACTTAATTCTCTGTTTCTCTATGTAGGCAAATAAGACCCCCATGCGCCCAGCAGAGCCTGGTCGCAACATGATGAACGCCGGTCCAGACTTCACCCCCGCCTTCATGGGTAACCTGGGCAGACAGTCCTCCGGAGGAGGGGGACCACGGGGCCCTGGAAGGGACCATATGGGAGTGAGTATGGCAGTGTGTTGGGTGTGTGTCAGTGCATAATTAGAGGACTCATCTTTGCTAAAACAGGTTATAGCCATCCAGTGTCTAACTCTATGGTCAGTGCATAGATATCCTATAATTCAAGACCAAGATGGACGATTGTTTGGTCAAAGTAATAAAGATGCCCATATAGTGTTCTATTTATTTCTGTTGATTCAGTGTGTTGTGTGTGTTCAGAGTGTGTTTTGTGTATTTGTTAGGTATGTGGGCTGTTGGTGTGTCAGTGTCTCTTGGAAAGCATTAGTCATAGTTCATAGTACATCATAGTATGTCACTCTCCAAATGTCTATCTATCCTTCCTCCCAAAGTGTTCACTGATTTGGAAGGAAATGACTGGTGTAATAAATATGGTGGAAACTCCCACTAGCCCATGCCTCCACCAATCCAATGCTATTAGATTTGTGGGAAGTAGGGAATGAGTGACTTCAGGAGAAAGGAGATATCATTGCATTCACCCTTTTGTCACGTGTTTCTTTCAAACAAATTATTTGATTTGATCATCAACCAATGATTTATTGTGAGCATCTAAAGATAACCATTCAATTGAATACTGTTCTGACACTGCCATTGAGTGGAACTGGCCCTGCTCTCTACCTTGTTGCTGTCTAAAGCTGTGCTCTGGTAGTGAATGATTCACAGCCCTGTGTGTTTGTAGAGTTCATAGACCTCATCTCCTCTACATGAGGTCCTGACCTGTCCTTTCTGTCTCTCTTATCTCTCTCTACCCCTCTCACCCACACCTCTCTTGCTTTTTCCCTCCTCCTTTCTCCCTCCTTACACCCCCCCCCCCGTCTCCCTCCCTCCCCCTTCCCACTCCTCCCCCTCCCCTCCCTCTCTCTCCCCTTACAATTCATCTCTCCTCTTCTCCACCTCCCCCAGCCCCCCGGACCGCGGCGCTCCCAGCAGGGCCAGCGTAAGGAGCCCCGCAAGATCATCACAATCTCCTCATCGCTAGGCGGCGACGTGGAGCTCAACAAGGCGGAGAAGGCCTGGAAGCCCACAGTGAAGAAGGCGGTGACCCAGGGCCGTGGGGCTGCCCCCGAGGATGAGGAGAGCGACAACCCCGAGCAGGCCAAGACCCAGGAGCTGTTCAAGAGGGTCCGCTCCATCCTCAACAAGCTGACCCCTCAAATGTTCCAGCAGCTGATGAAACAGGTCACAGAGCTGACCATCGACACGGAGGAGAGGCTGAAGGGAGTGATCGACCTGATCTTTGAGAAGGCCATCTCCGAGCCCAACTTCTCTGTGGCCTACGCCAACATGTGCCGCTGCCTTATGGGGGTGAGTGAAGCGACCAACGTTGTTTGGGCGTTCCATGTTAGTCTTTTTCTGTCCAGTCTCGCTCTCGCTCTCTCTCTCGTGTGTTAGGACCACTGCAGTATAGTGATGGACTTTAAGAACTCAAGGAGCTGAGGACAAGCCTTCTTTCTTTCCTGTTAGCACTCTCTTGCATATTTGCTTCTGTCGTCATCCTACTGGACATAAACCAAACAGACCTTGAACTAAACTTGTATTTTTCCTTGTTTCCTTTCATTGTCTCTTCCCAGTTGAAAGTGCCCACCACAGACAAACCAGGAGTGACGGTAAACTTCCGCAAGCTGCTGCTCAACCGTTGTCAGAAGGAGTTTGAGAAGGACCAGGATGATGACGTGATCTTTGAGGCCAAACAGAAGGAGATGGAAGCCGCCAAAGAGGTAGGGGATGATTAATTTCACATTACATTTTAGTAATTTAGCAGACGCTCTTATCCAGAGCGACATACAATTAGTGCATTCATCTTAAGATGGCTAGGTGAGAACACATCACAATCATATCAAGTAAATTTTTCCTCAAAATATTTATCATCAAAATCAGTACTAGTGGGAAAAGAGAAGTGGCTTTTTTTTGGTGGGGGGGGGGGGATTCAATATGTAATATTGAAAATCGATGCAGGCATTCCTTTTTAAAATTCAAGATTCGACAAGCTAGTTTGATAGACAACCTGTGTAATAGATCCGTTTCCATTCCGTTTCACCCTCCATGCACAATAAAGCTTTGTGAACTTTCAAACTAACCTCGGACCTCTCTTCTCCCAGGAGGAGAAAGCCGGTCTGAAGGCGGAGCTGGAGGAGGCCAAAGACAAGGCGCGGCGGCGGTCGCTGGGCAACATCAAGTTCATCGGCGAGCTGTTCAAGCTGAAGATGCTGACGGAGGCCATCATGCACGACTGCATCGTCAAGCTGCTGAAGAACCACGACGAGGAGTCGATAGAGTGCCTCTGTAGACTGCTGTCCACAATCGGCAAGGACCTGGACTTTGAGAAAGCCAAGGTATGTAGAAGAGAGAGACGCACACACACACACACACATACACACACACAGTTAGATGGACACAGGCACGCACACTCACTAATACACAGGGACACACACACAGAAACAAACATGCACTCACCCTGACATAATTTCCTTTGCAGAAATGAGAATGGCCACACACATACACCCACCCCCAGTCTGACTGTCCCTCTGTCCCCCCCAGCCCCGTATGGACCAGTACTTTACCCAGATGGACAAGATCATCAAGGAGAAGAAGACCTCGTCTAGGATCCGCTTCATGTTGCAGGACGTCATCGACCTCAGACGGGTACAACTACACCTCCCTCCATCCCTCTATACAATGTTCTCCCTCTTTCTGTGTCTTCCTCGCTCTACCTCTCTCACTATCTCTCTACCCCTCTCTCTCTTACTCTCTCTCTACCTCTCTCACCCCTCTCTCTCTCTCTCACTATCTCTCGCCCTCTCTCACTATCTCTCATTTAATTCAAAGGGCTATATATATTTATATATATATATATATATATATAGATATATATATATATAATTATATATATATATATATATATATATATATATATATATATTATTATATAATATTACACACACACACACGTGGGGAAAAAAAGTATTTAGTCAGCCACCAATTGTGCAAGTTCTCCCACTTGAAAAGATGAGAGATGCCTGTAATTTTCATCATAGGTACACGTCAACCATGACAGACAAATTGAGAAAAAAAAATCCAGAAAATCACATTGTAGGATTTTTAATGAATTTATTTGCAAATTATGGTGGAAAATAAGTATTTGGTCACCTACAAACAAGCAAGATTTCTGGCTCTCACAGACCTGTAACTTCTTCTTTAAGACGCTCCTCTGTCCTCCCCTCGTTACCTGTATTAATGGCACATGTTTGAACTTGTTATCAGTATAAAATACACCTGTCCACAACCTCAAACAGTCACACTCCAAACTCCACTATGGCCAAGACCAAAGAGCTGTCAAAGGACACCAGAAACAAAATTGTAGACCTGCACCAGGCTGGGAAGACTGAATCTGCAATAGGTAAGCAGCTTGGTTTGAAGAAATCAACTGTGGGAGCAATTATTAGGAAATGGAAGACATACAACACCACTGATAATCTCCCTTGATCTGGGGCTCCACGCAAGATCTCACCCCGTGGGGTCAAAATGATCACAAGAACGGTGAGCAAAAATCCCAGAACCACACGGGGGGACCTAGTGAATGACCTGCAGAGAGCTGGGACCAAAGTAACAAAGCCTACCATCAGTAACACACTACGCCGCCAGGGACTCAAATCCTGCTGTGTCCCCCTGCTTAAGCCAGTACATGTCCAGGCCAGTCTGAAGTTTGCTAGAGTACATTTGGATGATCCAGAAGAGGATTGGGAGAATGTCATATGGTCAGATGAAACCAAAATAGAACTTTTTGGTAAAAACTCAACTCGTCGTGTTTGGAGTACAAAGAATGCTGAGTTGCATCCAAAGAACACCATACCTACTGTGAAGCATGGGTGTGGAAACATCATGCTTTGGGGCTGTTTTTCTGCAAAGGGACCAGGACGACTGATCCGTGTAAAGGAAAGAATGAATGGGGCCATGTATCGTGAGATTTTGAGTGAAAACCTCCTTCCATCAGCAAGGGCATTGAAGATGAAACGTGGCTGGGTCTTTCAGCATGACAATGATCCCAAACACACCGCCCGGGCAACGAAGGAGTGGCTTCGTAAGAAGCATTTCAAGGTCCTGGAGTGGCCTAGCCAGTCTCCAGATCTCAACCCCATAGAAAATCTTTGGAGGGAGTTGAAAATCCGTGTTGCCCAGCGACAGCCCCAAAACATCACTGCTCTAGAGGAGATCTGCATGGAGGAATGGGCCAAAATACCAGCAACAGTGTGTGAAAACCTTGTGAAGACTTACAGAAAACGTTTGACCTGTGTCATTGCCAACAAAGGGTATATAACAAAGTATTGAGAAACTTTTGTTATTGACCAAATACTTATTTTCCACCATAATATGCAAATAAATTCATTAAAAATCCTACAATGTGATTTTCTGGAATTTCTTTTCTAATTTTGTCTGTCATAGTTGACGTGTACCTATGATGAAAATTACAGGCCTCTCTCATCTTTTTAAGTGGGAGAACTTGCACAATTGGTGGCTGACTAAATACTTTCTTTCCCCACTGTATATGGGTTTATCAAAATTGGATTTGTTTTCTAATTCTTTGATCTGTGTAATCTGAGGGAAATATCTGTCTCTAATATGGTCATACATTTGAGGTTAGGAAGTGCAGCTCAGTTTCCACCTCACTTTGTGGGCAGTGTGCACATAGCCTGTCTTCAATTGAGAGCCAGGTCTGCCTACAGCGGACTTTCTCAATAGCAAGGCTATGCTCACTGAGTCTGTATATAGTCAAAGCTTTCCTTCATTTTGGGTCAGTCACAGTGGTCAGGTATTCTGCCACTGTGTACTCTCTGTTTAGGGCCAAATAGCATTCCAGTTTGCTAGTTTTTTTGTAAATTCTTTCCAATGTGTCAAGTAATTATCTTTTTGTTTTCTCATGATTTGGTTTGGTCTTATTGTGTTGCTGTCCTGGGGCTCTGTGGGGTATGTTTGTGAACAGAGCCCCAGGACCAGCTTGCTTAGGGGACCCTTCTACAGGTTCATCTCTCTGTAGGTGATGGCTTTGTAATGGAAGGTTTGGGAATCGCATCCTTTTAGGTGGTTGTAGAATTTAACAGCTCTTTTCTGGATTTTCTGCTCTGCATGCATTATTTGGTGTTTTACGTTGTACACTGAGGATATTTTTGCTGAATTCTGCATGCAGAGTCTCAATTTGGTGTTTGTCCCATTTAGTGAATTGGTTGGTGAGTAGACCCCAGACCTCACAACTGTAAAGGGCTATGTGTTCTAGAACTGATTCAAGTATCTCTCTCTCTCTCTCTCTCTCTCTCTAACTCTCTAGCTTTCTTTCACTTTTCCTTCTTCCCTTTATTTGTCTTCTGTGCAATAGTATCATTAACGTCATGGCATCACAGTAGTTACGATAGTAATTTACCATATGGCTCTAACGCCCCCCCCCCCCCCCCTGCTTATCTTAGACTTTAAAGAGTCATCTCTCACACCCCCTCTCTCTCTCCCTCCCTCCAGAGTGGCTGGGTGCCCCGGCGAGGGGAGCAGGGCCCTAAGACCATTGACCAGATCCACAAGGAGGCTGAGCAGGAGGAACAAATGCAGCAGATCAAGGTTCAGCAGCAGCTCATGTCAAGGAACGACGGAGGTGGACGAGGAGGAGGTGGTGGTGGAGGAAGAGACGGGAGGGGGGGAGACAGAGACAGAGGAGGAAGGGATCAGGGGGGCCGCGGGGGCCAGGGGGGAAGGGGCAGCCAGCCCCAGGACGAGGGCTGGAACACAGTGCCCATCTCCACCAAGAACAGACCTATCGATACCAGCCGGCTCAGCAAGATCACCAAGGTGAGGGGAGAGTTTCTTAATGTTTAGAACTACTAAAGGAACCTGTGTTTTGACTACATTACGAACACATGGGGTTCCTAATTCTGGGGGGAGAATGTAAACAAAAGAGTACATATTGCCTTTTTGTGGATCACAAGGATGCTTTTTGTATTTGTCATTTAGAGCATGACAAGGTGAAGAGTTGTGTTGTCAATGCTATTGCCTAGATGTCATCCTGGTGAACTTTCTTCACTTTATTAGACATTTTTCATCAATTTTTATACCAAGTCAAGTCCAACTGAGATGGATATCGTTTTGGTATATCACCTCTGCGCTCTTAACCTTTTTGAGCTCTCCCCCACTAGCCTGGTGCTCTGGACTTCAGCAACCAGCTCCTTGCGCCCCAGCTCGGGGGTAAAGGCATGTGGGGCAGCTGGGGCAAGGGCAGCAGTGGAGGCACCACAGGAGCCAAGCCTGCTGCCGGAGCTGAACCAGGTAGGGACACATACGGACGTTCAAACACGCTTAACACACGGGCAAGACTTAACATGGAGTCGGGTAGAGGCCTACTTCATACAAACCTCAAACACACACAGATATCCCTCACATAAGGGAAAAACCTCAACAGAAATGGCACACCTATACACTCTTAACACGCACACACACACACACCTATACACAGACAGTTAACACCTACCATTTGTATTATGTGTGTATTGACCTCTCGTTCTCTCTCTCTCTTTCTCTCTCTCTTGGTCTGTTCTCTAGCAGCGGAGACTGGCCGTCCGGCCACCGGCAACCGTTTCTCTGCCCTGCAGCAGTCTGCACCCCCAGCATCCTCCTCAGACGCTGACCGCAGGGTACCCCAGAGGTATCTTCCTGATCTTTATCTCCACTCCTCTTCTCTCTGCCCGACCCACTCACACATCTACTTTCTACCCCTTTCTCTCTCTCTCTCCCCACTCTCTTCTCTTTCTCTCCCTTGTTCCTCTTTCATATCTTTCTCCTCCTCCCTCTCTCTCTCTCTCCTATTTCCTCTTTCTCCTCTCAATAATCTCTCTCCTCCTCTCTCATAACTCTCTCCTCCTCTCTCATAACTCTCTCCTCTCTCCTCTCACTTCCTCCTCTCTCATAACTCTCTCCTCCTCTCTCAAAACTCTCTCCTCTCTCTTCCTCCTCTCTCATAACTCTCCTCCTCTCTCATAACTCTCCTCCTCTCTCATAACTCTCCTCTCTCCTCCTCCTCTCTCTCATATCTCCCCCTCTTCTAACCCTCTGTAGGTCCAGCTCCAGTCGTGACCGCGGCGGGGACCGGGACAGGTTTGACCGCTTCGAGCGGCGCGACAGCAGTCGTGATGAGCGTGGCGGCAGTCGCGACACCCACCCCTCTATCACCAAGCGCAGCTTCAGCCGTGAGACAGAGGAGCGTAGGAGCGATAGTCGCACCCCTACGGAACCCCCTGTCCGGCACATAGCCAGCATGACTGACGACAGGGACCGAGGCAGCAGAGACCGAGGCAGCAGAGACCGGGGAGGCAGCGGTAGCCGGGACAGGGCTCCCAGCAAGGAGGCTGTTGGTAGGAGACTATACACACACACACACACACACACACACACACACACACACTGCATTCAGACACACACACACACACACACACACACACACACACACACACACACACACACACACTGCATTCAGACACACACACACCACACACACACACACACACACACACACACACACACTGCATTCAGACACACACACACACACACACAGTGCATACACACACATGCTGCAACACACACATTGGATGCACGCACGCGCACACACACACACACACACTTAGTGTATGATATGTGTTAGTGTATAATTGTCTGTTAGTATATACTAGTGTGTTACTTTATATCTATAATGTGTGTGTTGTATCTGTGCAGTGAAGCGTGAGACAGCCCCCACTCCTCCCCCCACTGCTCTGACCAAACCGACCATGACCGAGGAGGAGCTGGAGAAGAAGTCCAACGCCATCATCGAGGAGTACCTCCACCTCAACGACATGAAGGTACACACAGGCCACAGCAATGACATGACGGTATACACACACCCATATCAATGACATGCGCGCACACACACACACACACATCCGTTTCATGACAAAGATACACACACATTCGGAGGCCTTAGCAAAGCTAACTGCCCTATACTAAACCCCTGTCGTTCCCCGTCCGGCCCTGTAGGAGGCACTGCAGTGTGTAGTGGAGCTGAACAGCGCCTCGCTGCTCTTTGTGTTTGTGCGGAACGGTCTGGAGAACACTCTGGAGCGCAGCGCCATCGCCAGAGAACGCATGGGCCTGCTACTGCACCAGCTCATCAAGGCTGGCTCCCTGCCCACAACAGAGTACTACAAAGGGTAAGGGGGGTGTGTGTGTAGTACTTCCCTGTAGACCAGGTTGTGTGCTAGGAGGGAGAGACAGACACGGGAGAGAGGGGGAAGGGCGAGAGAGGGTCGGAGAAGGGTGAGAGAGCGAGGGGTAGGGAGAGAGAGAGGGCTATGGGGAGGGAGAGAGGGGTAGAGAGAGGGTGGGGGGGAGCGAGAGAGATGGCTCTGGGGCGAGAGGGATGGGTGGGGAGGGGTAGAGAGGGGTGGGGGGAGCAAGAGAGGGCTATATGGAAAGAGGGGAGAGGGGGGAAGAGCGAGAGGTAGGGAGAGCACGAGGGAGGAGCGAGGGGTAGGGAGAGAGAGTCGGGAGGCGGAGAGCGAGAGAATCCTCCACACAAGATAGTTTTCCAAATAAATTATTAGTTTGCTTTGTTCACTGTTAGTGTGTATGCTATGAGTAAGGTTTTTTACCTGGTTGTGTGTTTTTTATCATAGGCTCCAAGAGATCCTGGAGGTGGCTGAGGACATGGCCATAGACATCCCCCACATCTGGCAATACCTGGCTGAGCTCATCAACCCCATGCTCCACGAGGGAGGCATCCCCATGGGACAGCTCTTCAGGTGAGGCCCAGGCTCTATAGGCTGCCTCGGTTCCAACTCTGGAGGTCATTGTCATAGTGTTGATGCCAGAAAGGCTTTGACTGATGCTTCACTTATGGATGAATAGTTAAGAAGTGATGGGCAAACTCAGTCTCAATTTGACTGATGTAATAGATATATTAATTAAGAACTTTAATGAATGAGAACTTTAAAGCGGAACTGACAGCATTTTAGCAACATGAGAATCTGTTCATATACACCCCCAGGAAGAATGACACTTTTTTTTTTTACAATATCTGACGAGAGAGATGGTAATAAAAAATTCATACATTCATAGAATGTTTGGGAATGACGTATAGAAATGCATTTGAGGAAATTCTATATCAATATAGAGTGAGAAAGTGGCCCTGTATTTGGACAATTATTAGACACTGCAGTAAATAAAACCTAATAAAAACATCTGTCTTGTCCAGGACCGGAGTCTACACAGACCACACCATAGTCAATCAGAGCTACAGTAGGTTTATATGCTAATAAGCCGTTTGCCACACAGGCAGTGTTGCCTAGAATATTTAGCAAGTTTTCAGACCCCTCCAGCGGCTTCTATTGGTAAAAGACTCAAGTGACAAATTCAGCTACTTACACAGGCATTTTTTTAATTTAACATTTTAAATGTAACCTTTATTTAACCAGGTAAGCCAGTTGAGAACAAGTTCTCATTTACAACTGCGACCTGGCCAAGATAAAGCAAAGCAGTGCGATAAAAACAACAACACAGAGTTACATATGGGGTAGACAAAACATAAAGTCAAAAATACAACAGAAAATAGAAAATATATATACATTGTGTGCAAATGTAGCAGGTTATGGAGGTAAGGCAATAAATAGGCCATAGTGCAAAATAATTACAATTAGTATTAACACTGGAATGATAGATGTGCAAGAGATGTGCAAATAGAGATACTGGGGTGCAAATGAGCAAAATAAATAACAATATGGGGATGAGGTAGTTGGGTGGGCTAATTTCAGATGGGCTGTGTACAGGTGCAGTGATCGGTAAGGTGCTCTGACAACTGATGCTTAAAGTTAGTGAGGGATATAAGAGTCTCCAGCTTCAGAGATTTTTGCAGTTCGTTCCAGTCATTGGCAGCAGAGAACTGGAAGGAATGGCAGCCAAAGGAGGTGTTGGCTTTGGGGATGACCAGTGAGATATACCTGCTGGAGCGCATACTACGGGTGGGTGTTGCTATGGTGACCAATGAGCTAAGATAAGGCAGGGATTTGCCTAGCAGTGATTTATAGATGGCCTGGAGCCAGTGGGTTTGGCGACGAATATGTAGTGAGGACCAGCCAACAAGAGCGTACAGGTCACAGTGGTGGGCAGTATATGGGGCTTTGGTGACAAAACGGATGGCACTGTGATAGACTACATCCAATTTGCTGAGTAGAGTGTTGGAGGCTATTTTGTAAATGACATCGCCGAAGTCGAGGATCGGTAGGATAGTCAGTTTTACAAGGGCATGTTTGGCAGCATGAGTGAAGGAGGCTTTGTTGCGAAATAGGAAGCCGATTCTGGATTTAATTTTGTTTTGGAGATGCTTAATGTGAGTCTGGAAGGAGAGTTTACAGTCTAACCAGACACCTAGGTATTTGTAGTTGTCCACATACTCTAGGTCAGACCTGTCGAGAGTAGTGATTCTAGTCGGGTGGGCGGGTGCCAGCAGCGTTCGATTGAAGAGCATGCATTTAGTTTTACTTGTGTTTAAGAGCAGTTGGAGGCTACGGAAGGAGTGTTGTATGGCATTGAAGCTCGTTTGGAGGATTGTTAACAGTGTCCAATGAAGGGCCAGATGTATACAAAATGGTGCCGTCTGCGTAGAGGTGGATCTGAGAGTCACCAGCAGCAAGAGCGACATCATTGATATACACGGAGAAAAGAGTCGGCCCAAGAATTTAACCCTGTGGCACCCCCATAGAGACTGCCATAGGTCCAGACAACAGGCCCTCCGATTTGACACATTGAACTCTATCTGAGAAGTAGTTGCCATCATTCACTTTGAACTGGACTGTGTGTTTACAGGCAGTAGCAACAGCGTGACTTTAGATCATTAGAAAGCATTTGCCAAAAGCCACAAAATACACCTGAATGGATTTGAATGAATATGTAAATCCCACAGGGAGTCCTCTTACATTTGGGAACTTTACAGTCCTATTGATCAATTAACCATGAAAAGGTAGGCTCTCTCCCTCAGTTGCCTTGCACATCAACAAGATCAACAACTGTTAGCCAGAGCGAGATGAGCTAAAATCTACCAAGGGACAGTAGATAAACCCTATCAAATGTTTTCAGCTTGTAGTTGGACATCAAAATTGCACTGATGAACGATGGGGAATAGTAGCCTGCTCGCCATTCTGCACCTTGCCTGCCAAAGTGTGGTGTAGTTGTATATTAAATATTCGGACATTGCTCGTTAATACCTCTAACAGAAAGTACAAGAATGATATAAATGACATATTCTGAATCGTCTGTCGATAGCGAACAAGTTACATCCCTTGTTTTTTGCAATTTGGTGTCATTTTCTTTTTGGAGGTGAAATGTAGCTAAAACGTTGCTGTCCTCCACTCAGAGGGTTAAGGGACCGTCTTAAAACTGCAATGCCTACTTTTGCAGGTTAATGTCAATAGCTTCTCAATCACATGACATATAGCTCTCAAATAAATTTGACATTGTTCAGAGACCTCTTCTCTCGAATCCACAGCAATTTGTTAAGTTAAACTTTTTTTCTTTTTTTTAATCACTTTACAGAGAAATGTGAATCACTTATCTAGCTATACCCCATAGGACTTGCATGAGTACAACCAAATGTTATCGGTTCAGGGACCTCGCCTGTCCAATCTACGGCAATTACGTTAGTATGTTTTTACTTTGGCTGTTTTCTAAAAAAAATATTTGCGTAATGTATAAATAATACTTCAATAGCTTCCACCCCATATCACTTGCATGAATTCAACCAACTGTTATTGGTTCAGGAACATCGTCAATACAATCTAAGGCAATATTTTTGACATATAATGAAATAAGTCATAGAAAATAGCCAAAGTTAAATAATACAAATATAATTACTGTAGATTGTGCAGATATACAGTGGGGAGAACAAGTATTTGATACACTGCCGATTTTGCAGGTTTTCCTACTTACAAAGCATGTAGAGGTCTGTAATTTTTATCATAGGTACACTTCAACTGTGAGAGACGGAATCTAAAACAAAAATCCAGAAAATCACATTGTATGATTTTTAAGTACCGTATTTTCCGCACTATAAGGCGCATCGGAGTATAAGCCGCAGCAGCTAAATTGAATGATATTGAATGATGTGTACATATATAAGCCGCACTGGACTATAAGCCGCAGGTGTTTTAATGTTTAATTACCATATGTAAGGGTTCGTGCACAGAGGGGATTGTCGGGAAAGAGACAAACTGTCTCGCTCTCGTAATGTCTGTCTGTCTTGCTCTCGTTCTGTCTCTCGTTCTCTCTCTCGGTTCCACTTTTACTTTTGCGCGCTACCTGTCTCACTCTTTTCCGGCCTCCAGCTTTTCCTGCCGGAGCCCGGCGCTTAAAGGTGGGTGGCGCGGACCGGTCATAGAGCCCATAGAGTTAAAGTTGGTGGACTGTAACCTGTAAAATCCATAGATTTAGGAGGTCTTCTAGTGGCCATTAGCTGTAAAAATCCATAGATTAGCCGCACCGTAATTCATTTGCATTTTATTGCATGACATAAGTATTTGATACATCAGAAAAGCAGAACTTAATATTTGGTACAGAAACCTTTGTTTGCAATTACAGAGATCATACGTTTCCTGTAGGTCTTGACCAGGTTTGCACACACTGCAGCAGGGATTTTGGCCCACTCCTCCATACAGACCTTCTCCAGATCCTTCAGGTTTCGGGGCTGTCGCTGGGCAATATGGACTTTCAGCTCCCTCCAAAGATTTTCTATTAGGTTCAGGTCTGGAGACTGGCTAGGCCACTCCAGGACCTTGAGATGCTTCTTACGGAGCCACTCCTTAGTTGCCCTGGCTGTGTGTTTCGGGTCGTTGTCATGCTGGAAAACCCAGCCACGACCCATCTTCAATGCTCTTACTGAGGGAAGGAGGTTGTTGGCCAAGATATCACGATACATGGCCCCATCCATCCTCCCCTCAATACGGTGCAGTCGTCCTGTCCCCTTTGCAGAAAAGCATCCCCAAAGAATGATGTTTCCACCTCCATGCTTCACGGTTGGGATGGTGTTCTTGGGGTTGTACTCATCCTTCTTCTTCCTCCAAACACGGCGAGTGGAGTTTAGACCAAAAAGCTCTATTTTTGTCTCATCAGACCACATGACCTTCTCCCATTCCTCCTCTGGATCATCCAGATGGTCATTGGTAAACTTCAGACGGGCCTGGACATGCGCTGGCTTGAGCAGGGGGACCTTGCGTGCGCTGCAGGATTTTAATCCATGACGGCGTAGTGTGTTACTAATGGTTTTCTTTGAGACTGTAGTCCCAGTTCTCTTCAGGTCATTGACCAGGTCCTGCCGTGTAGTTCTGGGCTGATCCCTCACCTTCCTCATGATCATTGATGGCCCACGAGGTGAGATCTTGCATGGAGCCCCAGACCGAGAGTGATTGACCGTCATCTTGAACTTCATCCATTTTCTAATAATTGCACCAACAGTTGTTGCCTTCTCACCAAGCTGCTTACCTATTGTCCTGTAGCCCATCCCAGTCTTGTGCAGGTCTACAATTTTATCCCTGATGTCCTTACACAGCTCTCTGGTCTTGGCCATTGTGGAGAGGTTGGAGTCTGTTTGTTTGATTGAGTGTGTGGACAGGTGTCTTTTATACAGGTAACGAGTTCATACAGGTAATGAGTGGAGAACAGCAGGGCTTCTTAAAGAAAAACTAACAGGTTTGTGAGAGCCGGAATTCTTACTGGTTGGTAGGTGATCAAATACTTATGTCATGCAATAAAATGCAAAT